AATGAACTGAATCTAAATATAAATCTAATCAGGCCTCTCCATATGACTGCAAATTTGTAAGAAATAAGAAATATGGGGAACTAAGGAACATGTTATAAACTTTGGAGGAAATGTACAGCTAAACCCAGGATGGGGGAGATTCCACAGAACAAATGACCTATTTGTTCAACACATAAAAGGAGAGTGAACTGTTATAGATTTAATGAGGCAAAAGACAAATAATTCAAATGCATTGTGTGGGCTTTGTTTGGATCCTAATTTAAACATATCAATGGTCAGGACATTAAAAATTTTTTTTTTGATGGATGTAATGGAATAAAGTTACCATTCTAGACATGATTTCTAGCTCATCTTTTTTTTTTTTTTTTTTAAGATTTTATTTATTTATTTTTAGACAGAAGGGAAAGGAGGGAGAAAAAGAGGGAGAGAAATATCAATGTGTGGTTGCTTCTCACATGCCCCCTACTGGGGACCTAGCCTGCAACCCAGGCATGTGCTCCGACTGGGAATTGAACCAGCAACCCTTTGGTTGGCAGGCCAGTGTTCAATCCACTGAGCCACACAAGCCAGGGCTCTAGCTCATCTTAAGAGTATTTTTTTCCATTGCTCAAAGCATTCTTTTATAGAACCTTCTATTAATCTTGTCATGGTGAAACCCAACCATTGCATTCTTAGAAACATCTTATAAACTGCTTTCCCTACTTCTCCTCAAGGGAGAGAACTGGAAGAGAACCTAGTCTGGTGAAACGTCCTACCTAAATGTTGATTCTTCCTTAACAACACCAGTCAAGGAGTGTGTAAAAGCTGTTTCAGGGTCATTGAAACCCACCTTACACAATGACCTTACACAAGCTCATTGATTTCAAGGACTGTGTTGATCTGCCAGTCAGGCAGTTAGCAAACATTTGTTGAATACCTTCTATGTGTGTATGTTGTACTAGAGGTAGTGATGCATAAATGAAAACATAGAATAACATGGAGAGTCCAGAAATAAATCCTTGCTTACATGGTCAATTAATCTACTATAAAGGAGGTAAGGATGTACAATGGGGTAAAGACAGTCTCTTCAATAACTGGTATTGTCAAAACTGAACAGATACTTTCAAGAAAATTAAATTAGACCATGTTCTTATACCATATACAAAAATAAACTTAAAATGGATTAAAGACTTAAATGTTAGACTGAAACCATAAAACCCCTAGAAGAAAACAGAGTGGTAAAGTCTTTAATGTTGCTCTTGGCAACATCTTTTTGGATATATTTTGTCAAACAAGGAAGCAAAAGAAAAAATAAGCAAATTAAACTACAACAAACTAAACTGTTTTTGTACAGTAAAGAAAACCATCAACATAATAAAAAGACAATAAACTGAACTATGTCCACAAATCCAAAATATATAAAGAATTCATACAACGTCAAAAACAAAGAAACAACCCAATTAAAAAATGGGCTGATGACCTGAACAGACATTTCTCCCAAGGGGACATACAGATGGTCAACAAATGTATGAAAAGATGCTTGATGCCACTAATCCACAGGGAAATGAAAATTAAAACTCACACCTGTCAGAATGGCTATCATCAATAAATCAGCAAATAACAAGTGCTGGCAAGGATGTGAAGAAAAGGGAAGACTTGTTTGTACACTGTTGGTGAGATTGTAAATTGGTGCAGTCACTATGAAAAATAGTATGGAGATTCCTCAAAAAATTAAAAATAGAGCTGCCATATGATCCAGCAATTTCACTTCTGGGTTTTTATCTGAAGAAAAGAAAAACACTAATTCAAAAAGATATATTTATCCCCCTGTTCACTGAGGCATTACTAGTTAAGCTAAGATATGCAATCAACCTAGATGTCCAAAAATAGGTGAATGAATAAAAAAGATAAGATACACACACAGAGGAATATTTTTCAGCCCTAAAAAAGAATGAAACCTTCCCATTTGTTACAACATATATGGACCTAGAGGACATTATGCTAAGTGAAGAAGTTCAGACAAAGACAAATACTTATGATCTCACTTTTAATGTGGAATCTACAAAAATGAAACAAACAAAACAGAAACAGTCCCATAGAGAACAGGCTGCCGTCTGCCAAAGGAGAGAGGGTGAAGGAATGGAAATGAAAATAATTAAAGGCTGTGGTGGGCATTAAATTAATAATATATGTTAACTGACAAATATTTTTTGATGACCTAGTACATTCCTAGGGCTGTTTTAGGCATGCAGATAAGCTGTAAATAAGACAAAGTTCTCATCTTCAGGGAACTTCTGGCCAAAAGACATTTTTGAGACAATAGAGGAAAACTGAACACACACTGCAGAGTAGATATTAAAAAATTATTGTTAACTTTTTTTGGGTGAAATATAATGGTTACAGCTTGCTTTAAAGTGTTCCAAGAAAAAAAAATGAAGGGGAGGTGGGGAATAGATCAGATAACAGCATAAAGCTAGGTGAGGGGTACATGAGGTCCACTAGTTTTTGTATCTATTTAAAAATTTCTATTACAAGTTTTTTAAAAAAGTATTTAAAAATTAGAAACAGTTGTCAGTAAAAACACATAATCTAATTAAACATGAAATTTTAGAACCTGCCAATATTGCAGAGATATGATTTTAGGTAAGATTCTAAACTTAGGCTTTAAAAGATTAAAGTAAAATTAAAATGTAGAAATTTGATGTCTAATAACCATTTTTAGCTCTTGAGAAAATAGGCAGAGCCCACGGTGAAGCTGTCTTTCATCTGTAGTTTTCAGAATTTTCCCAGCCTCTGTTCTTAAGTCTAAATTTAGGGGTTGTTTTATATTTAGATTTTTTTTTTGGTGCAAATTTGACAAAATTACCATAAAATTTAGGGATAAAAATTACCTCCTTATATTCTCCTATAAATCTTTATCCTTTGAAATAGAATCTCATAAGAGAGTGAGGCATAATCTTTTGTGGATAAAAGTTCCTGCCAGTTGACGTATCCTCACTGCTATTATAACATGGGATTAGGGGTCAGGCAAAGGATCTCTCTGATTAAAGTGGCATGTGGGAGAGCATGGCCTTCAGGCAGTGGTGTTTTTACCTTTCTTTCCTGCTATGTAACAGGATTTCTTATAAAAAAAAAAGTCAAAGATAGCTTGTTATGACAAACTATCCTTCTGTAGTTTTTATTTTTAAATAATTTTTTAATAATTTTTTAATATTTTTAATAATTTTTTAAAGATTTTGTCTATTTATTTTTAGAGAGAGGAAAAGAGAGAGAGAAACATTGATGTGTGATAGAAACATCCACTGTTTGTCTCTAACATGAGCCCAACCAGGGACCTGGCCCACAACCCAGGTGTGTGCCCTGACTGGGAACTGAACTGGCGACCTTTCGGTTCACAGGCTGGCACTTGATCCACTGAGCCACACCAGCCAGGGCACTTCTGTAATTTAAAAAAATGTAAGAAAACACACATACAAACTTGTATGTGAATGTTCACAGCAGTACTATGCACAATAGCCAAAAAGTGAAACAATGTTCATCAACTAATGATTAGATAAACAAAATGTAATATATACATACAACTTATTCCATACAAAGAAATAAAGTAATGATTCATCGTACCAATTCATGTTACAACATCATGAATCGCAAAACATTATGTTAAGTGAAAGAAGCCAGCCACAAAAGATCATGTATTATATGATTCCATTATGTGAAATATTCGGAATAGGCAAATCTAGAGACAAAAAGTAGATTACTGCTTGCCCTGGGGTTAAAGGGCCTGAGGGGAAAAGGGAAGTTTACTGCTAACAAGTACTCTACAGAGTCGAACAGTGTTCCCCCAAATTCAGAACAAAAAATATTTAAAAATTGATTGTGGCGATGTTTGCTTTGTACAATCTGAAGAAAAACCAGAGTATGTTTGCACAACTTGTTGGATATACCAAAACTACTAAAATGTATACTTTAAATGGGTTACTTTTATGGTATGTGAATTATAACTCAATAAAGCTTTATATTAAAAAATATTTAAAGCTATAAAGAAATGCTGAAGAACTGACAAGCACCTTGAGTAATCTCAACATGGGGAGCTTTTACTGTCAGGCAATAATTTAGGGTGTGAAGAGTTAAATACTAGATGTTAGTTAAACAGGCTTGGTTGCTAGATCTGTTGCTGATTTAGTCTAAGGACTTTTGGCCTTTTAGACAGTACTCTTTCCATTGAAAGTCACAGAAAACCATCTCAAACAGGCTTTCTCAAAACAATAGGAATTTATCTCATATAATTGAAGTCCAGGGTGGGCACTAGCATCAGGCATCTGTTTCGTTCTGTTGTCTTCATTCTAAAGCTGGCTGTCTCTATGTGGTAGGCAAAGTTCCAAGAGTATGTGGCTCTCCCAGCTCCTGATATGAGGGGAGGGGGAATCTTTCCTGATATCTCTTGCAATAGTTCCAGGACTGGCCAAGGCTAGATAGCTCACATTCCTGGGGCCAGGAATAAGGTTTCCTTCAACCAGGTCTCATGGTTGCATGGTTTCCCATTGAGTGGGAAAGGGTGGCTCTCTGAAAGAAGAAAAACTGGGTATATAAAACATATGTCTGCTGTGCCAGGCAAAGCTCTAGAACTTGCAGAGATTCAAACATTATCTCAGCCCGCTATATACTTGCTGAATTAATGTAGTAACACACAAAAGAGAGCATCACTTTTAAAGTATCCTATTTCAAATTCTTATTCCACAATTTTGAGAAGCAATAAAACACAAGTTAGGAAGGATGCCAAGGTCAATAGTGAGATGCCATTTTAGCAGTGAGCTGCTTCAATCAAGTATAGATTGTTCCACGTTCTGGAATTCCATCCCTCTTACACAGAAGAGATATGTTGCTCTGGTAGATGGCAGACTTTTTGTCCTGATTCAGCCACAACAAAAGCTAATGCTTGTCCAGCACAAAGGAAGAAGGTGGTCCAGCAGGATGGGCTGGAAAGTACCTTGCTACCAGTAAGCTCTTTGCAAACTTTCCCTTCTCATTTAAATTGGTGATAATCTGGTGGGTTTCTGATCCAGGATCCAAATGCATGCTTCCGGAGTGTGCTCCAGGCTTCCTGGTAAGCAGATGCAGCCTCCTTGTACTCTTGGTATGTCTCTAGCTTCTGCATCCTAATGCACACAGTACCACCAAGCAAACAGTTTCTCATTGGACAGCTCACCACCATGGACAACAAGACACCTGAGCAATCAGCTGGACAGATTCATTACAAGAGACTTAAGAACAAGAGAATTTTGGTATGCTTGCTTTCCTAGAGAGACTCTATCTCCTTTGCAGGGAATTCACTACAAAAGAACATGGATTAAAACAGGCAAGAATGAAAAGAATGCTAGTTTTGTCTGGTCCTGGTGAAATCAGGTAAAACAAAAATAACTATCATTTTTTGGTTGAAAGTTTTCTAAGTGTGTATGATTTCCACCAGAGGATACAGCCATTAGAAACTTCTCGACTGCATTTTCCCTAACAAAGCAAATCACTTTTCATTTCATCCATACTCTCCTCCTATGTACCGATAGCCGACCCCGCTCCCAATCCCCTAGTCAGCTCTGACTGCTAAAAAATGGCTGATATGTTGAGTACTATTTGTAATACTTATATCTAGTTTTAAAAGATTTTCATTGCAACAAAGACTCCTCTCTCTTTTGACCACACTTGAGTCAAGCTCCTCCCAGCTCTCTTCTCCACTTGGACCTTCAGCTCTGTCCTTGTATCTTATGGTTGAAGAAACTGACACTCATGTCTTATTGATCCAATTTTATCCTGCTTCTTAGCTCACTTCAGCAGAGCTAAGTTGCTATTTGCAGCAAAAATTGATTTCAGTTGCTTGATCAATTTCCTACAGCGTTTTGTTGGTTAATGGGTGGGATCTATACATATGACAATGTTAAACCTTACCTGAGCCCCGAGTTCCTAAAAAACAGCTGAGAAATCTCCCTGCCACCCTCCGTGTTCTGGGACATGGCTGACTGCAAACAGCTGTCCTTCCTCATGACTTAAGACTCATGGATGCCCCCATTGTTTACCTATCACAATGCCAGACACAGACCCTCCAAATTCTCATTCTTTCTCCCATAACGATTAGCTGAATTCACTGACCAATCTTGACAACATACCTGCTAACTTGACCGACTCTTAGTTACATGTCTCTCCTTATCCCAGGCCTCAGAGCGTTGATCACCCTCCTCCTGAGCCAGCCTCAGAGTGTGTAACAACCCCTTAACAGCCCCTCCTGAGAACCAGCTGACAGCAAGAAGAGACAGTTCCTGTTCAATTGTCCTGTCACACCACTGGCTCATCTCCTCCCCCCACCCCCACCCTGCCCCTCCCTGTTCCAGCTGTTCAGCCTCATTCACCTCTCTGTATAAAAGAAAACCCCTTTCCATTTGCCCTTTGAAAAACTTACAGAGCTGCTGATTGGAGAGTTCTTGCTACTGCATTCATCTCCTATTGCAATAGACCCCTCTTACTACAATGATCCTTTTGAGTGAAGTCTCTCTTTACTTAAGTCCAGATTTGTTTTTAATACACAGACTGTACAGAAACCCACCCAGTTCCAGTTTGATTCATTTTCCTAGACAAGAAACAAACAAACTGACCATGAGTGACTGGAGGGCATCAGTACTAACCACAGCATATGATGGTGATAACAGTGGCTAGCTGGATACTCCTCTGCTTCCCCATTGCTGTATAATAAAGACTTTGGCTGGTCTTTGTTACCAGTTCCTGGGAGGGAACCTCTCAACCTTAGAATTTCCCAGGGGATAGGACTGTCTTTGTTATTCATGGTGGACCCCTCAGATCATCCCTAAGTTTATGTTTAACAAGGTGACTCACAGTGGCCCTAGAGAGTTTCAGGATGGGGCAGGCCATGCCAGAAAGACCAACCATGAGATTGGAGACTTGGAGCACCAAATCACCAGTATCACCATAACCTCGTAAGATGGGAGGAGGAGATAAGGTTGAGTTCAATCACATCATGTGAACTACAATTCGATCAATCATTCTTATTGATAACCTCCTCCCTGCCACCTACAACTCTGAAGCTCAAGTCAGCTTCCTGGTTGGTGCTGAAAGAGTGATACATCCTGAAACTTTGAGTTTGGGACCCTGCCAGACCTTACCCTATGTGTCCTTTCTTTTAGCTGGTCCTAGCTTGTACTCTTTACAGTCAAAGGTAATTGTAACTATAGTGCTTTCCTGAATTCTATCAGTTGTTCTAGTGGATTGCTGAACCCGAGTAGGTAGTGAAAATCCCGAGTTTGCAGTCAATTGGTCAGAAGCGTGAGTGACTTGGGGCCCCCAAGCCTGTGGCTAGCATCTGAAATGAGGGCAGTTTGTAAGGACTATGCCCTTTATCCTGTGAAATTTGGCCCAACTCTGGGTAGTCAGTGTCTGAACTGCACCCACCCACCTGAGGTGGTTTTATAGTTCTCTACATTCCTGTTTGGAGAGTGATTTCAGTCATGGAGTTGCAGTTCACAACCACTGATGTGAACAAAAGAAAAAGAGACTTGAGCCCTGGCTGGTGTTGCTCAGTGGACTGAGTGTCAGCCTGTGAACTGAAAAGGTGGTTCGTTTGACTCTTGGTCAGGGCACATGCCTGGGTTGTAGGCCAGGTCCCCCGCAGGGGGCGTGCAAAAGGCAACAGGTGGATGTTTCTCTGGCACACGGATGTTTCTCTCCCTCTCTTCCTCCCTCCCTTCCCTGCTCTCTAAAAATAAATAATTTTTAAAAAGTAATAAAAAATAAAAAAATAAAAATAGATAATAAATAAAATCTTAAAAAAAAAAAGAAAGAAAAAGACACTTGACATTCCTAACTACACTGCTCTACAAGCGCTCATATTTCCACAATGCTTTCTGTCTGACGGCAAAATGAAGGGAGGGCCTGGAATGTTCCTAAACCCAATTCTACCCTTAGTCTCTTGTGACTTTGTACCACCAAACTACCTGTCCTCCACACCTCAGATCATACACGAGTCTGCAAGCAGAGCCATGGGAATAGAAGAGCATGTGGTCAGGAATAAGTGCCCACTGGCCTGCTGAAACACCACTCCTGCTTAAAGCCTCCTGCTACTCAGAGCCGGAACTAAACCAGAAGTCTTCCTAAATATGAAAAAACATTGGTCAATACCATCACCTGAGGGAGTCTGGCCACTTGTCCTCTGAAATACTGCTTAGCAGCTTCTGGAACGATCTAAAGAGTTCCACTTTGCTGATTCGAGATCTGTTTGGAAAAAGACGAAGAGGATTTATTAAGTGTTTGCTATGTACCATGTCCCTATCAAAGATAGCAGGCTTCACGAGGTTTTGGATGTGCCTGAACCCCATTTTGGGAGAAAATCGAGACCCAAGGGTCTGATTAGGTCAAGGCACAAAAATGAATCTCATCTTAAGAAATGTCATCAGCATGAAATCATCAAGGTGACAGGTTCAAATGGGATAAAGGCAGAGGTGAAATTACTAAATTCCCCCCAGGATACCTATCAGCCATGTTGGCTAACTCCTTTCAGGGGAGCTGGCCCCTTAGGTAATACTACTTAGAAGAAATTAAAAGCTTTGTTTCAGAAGCCTGAATGCTTCGACTTGTATATAGTCCAATTCGATGAGCCATCTAAGGCAGAATCTCCAAACTACCTCTTGGGCATTAAGGACCTTTGAAGGCCAACCTATTGCTTCAAACAACAAGCTTCACAGAAGTCACTGTTTGGAACAGTGAAGAAAGTGAGTATGGATTCCTTACCAGCCCACCTGGGCCTTCTTGGTTTGGCCCATCCAGGTTGGCTATGGCCTGGGTTGTATGCGTGCCTCTTACCTTTCCCTCATATACACAATGAGCTGATCTAGGAGTTGGGAACTGTTGTGTGTGCCCACAATGTATAGTCTCACTTTTACACACCATACCCTTCACTGTCTTCACAAATTGTACTATCAGCTTGGACACAGTGGTCATACCAGTACCTATGATATAAAGGGTGGCACAGTCTGCCAAGAAACTCCCTTACTTGGCTGGTACCTAGCCTTCTGAAGGAAGCACTGCTTAAAGCAGAACCCTGAAGCCTCACAGGCTGCTCTTTCCTGGGCCTTAATTGTGGTAAGTGGTTGTTGGCACTCAGGAACATAAAGCTGTTTTAACATTTAAAAACCTCCAAAGTCAAAAAACTAATGGAACTCATTAACAGATTAAAGGAGAAAAGTAATATAACTATAGAAAAATGTATGGAGAAAAATCATTTGTTAGAATTCAACATCTACCAAATGAATTAAAACCTTTTACCAATGAGGACTAAGTAAGGTATTTAAATTCACAGAGGGTATCTATAAAAACCTACAGCAAATATATGTCCTTAAAATCATGAATAAGACAAGGGTCTTTCTATTAGTGCTTTTATCCAACATTATACAGTAAGACAAGAAATAAAAGGAATAAGGATTGAAAAGCAAAAAACAAAGCCATTATTTGCAGATGAGTGTGGTACTGACAGTTCTAGCCAGCAGAGTAAGTCAAGAAATGAATGGAATGGAAGATTAGAAAGGAAATACTACTTGCAAAAGATTATCTATATTAAAAAATTCCAAAAGAATTCCCAGATAAATTAGCGGAATAATAAGCATTAGTGAAGCTGCTGGATACAAAAACTGCAGCAGAGAGAAACAAAAAACTGGTTGTGATAGCAATGCTCAGAAAATGAAATAAAAATTACTTTAAATAGCATCTACAACAGACAAACTGTAAGATGTTGATTCTTGCCTCCTGGAATTCATGGGTCTGTGCAACCTCCCTGCGCCCCTCACCCTGAATGGGGCTGACCTGTATGAGTCTGCATGTTAGGAGGCTGCAGATGCAGTGTGACTTCTGAGGCTAGGTCATAAAAGACACTGTGGCTACTGCCTTGCTCTCCTGGATCACCTGCTCTGGGGAAAGCCAGACACTGTGTTGCAAAGATGAACACTGGTAGCCTTACGGAGAGATCCAAGTTGTGAGGAACTGAGGCACCATGCAGACAGCCAGAGCGGACCTGTCGGCCACATGGGTGAGCCATTTTGGAATCGAATCCTCCAGGCACAGTCAAGGCTTCAGGTGACTGCAGCCCTGGCAGGCATAATGGCCTGCCACCTCGTGAGTCCCTGAGTCAGAGTTATCCAGCTAAGCTCCTCCCAAATTCCTGACCCACAGAAACTATGAAACAATAAATGTTGACTGTTGTTTTAAGCCCCTAAGTTTGGGGGATAACCTGTTATACAGCAAGAGATAACTAATATAACATTTAAGGAATAACTCTAATAAAAGGTATGAAAGATTTATATGAAGAAAATTAAAGTTTACTGAAATATATATACATACATAAGAAGACCTAGGAAAGCTATACATATATATGTAATTTTTAAAAACATTTATTTATTTTTCTTTAGAGAGAGAGGAAGGTAGGGAGAAAGAGAGGGAGAGAAACATCAACGTGAGAAACATCGATTGGTTGCTTCTCATCCATGCCCTGATAGGGGACCAACCCGGAACCCAGGCGTGTGCCCTGAAAAGGATTCAAACTGGTGACCTTTCACTTGGTGGAATGACACCCAACCAACTGAACCACACAGGTCAGGGCTGTAATTCTTTTTAAAGGTTACACATTCACATCAATATTTCCAATCTAGCACTGTCTTTAACATACTCAGATATACTTAAATTTATTTTTTAATCCTTTCATCTTTTATAATCCAATGAGCCATATAATGATTATCTAGGTTGTTTGGTATGTGGACAGAGAGGGGAAGAGAATTTTCTACTTTAGGGCAAAGGAATTTGCCTATAAGAGGCAGAGTAAAATTAAGCTTCTTAAAAATGAGGGTTCTGTTATCTCTTTGTTGGTAAAACACCCACACACACACGATTTAAATAAAATAATTCCTGCCCTCGTTGGTGTGGCTCAGTGGATTGAGCGCCAGCCTGCGAATTGAAAGACTGCCAGTTCAATTCTCAGTCAGGGCACATGCCCGGGTTGCAGGCCAGGTCCCCAGTTGGGGGCATGGGAGAGGCAACAAACTGATATATCTCTCAAACATTATGTTTCTTTCCCTTTCTTTCTCCCTCTCTTCCTGTCTCTCTAAAAATAAATAAATAAAATCTAAATAAACTAAAAAAATAAAATAGTTCCTTTAGTGTTGCACTAGTATATTAAGTGTTTCTAATACCCCAGTCTGAGTTCATATTCCCTATAGTTCTAAAGAAGGTGGTCCCTGGATGTCAGCATTCAGGAATGAGCAATGGGAAAACCCGGTTTCTTCCCAGCAGTTGCTGGTCTTTAGAATAAAAGTAACTGACTCACAAATAATATGAAGCATTATTTGACAAATGAAGAGAAAATCAATCTTAACAAGACATCTACTGCAAGCCCTGCATCATGTTAGAGGCATTCTCTTTCATTCAATTCTCACAACAGTCCTGGGCAATAGATACTGTTGGTTACCCTTGCTTTATTGCTGCAAAAACAGAGGCTCAGAGAGATAATTTTCCCAGGTTCACACAAGCAGGGAGAAAGGAGGCCAGAAACTCCAAAGCATCTACTCTTTCCAAAATATACCTCCTTCCTGTATGGAGTTTGCCTTCTAATTGGAGAGGCATCCACAATGTGCCAGAGACCTCAGATCATCTACTCCGAAATCCTTCTTTTACAGATACGAACACACTGAAGCCCAGAGAACAACTAGACCTGTTCAAAGTAGCCTGGATAGCTGGAGACAGAGCAAACAGGAGGACAGCAGGCACGCCCAATCGCACAGAGAGCAAAGGTGCATTGGGAGAGGCTGGAAACCATTACGATGGGATTTAAAGAAAAGGTTGTAATTATGAGCCAGAAGGGAGCAGTGGCTGAGCTGAGTTTTTAACATGAAAGAGGGTGTGGATTTATAGTGAAGGAGAGCATTTTAGACTTAAGCAAAGCAGCAAACCAAAACCACAGTCGGAGGGTAGGGCCCGTGTGCGTAGCTGCTAGCCTGTCACCACAGCTCAACAGGAAACACGTGGTCCCCATCCCTCATGACCTGCTCTGCTCCCACAGCCTTGGTCCCCTGAGAGGTGCTAACAGTGTTGTGAGGCCAGGAAGGCACATAGGGAAAAATGTCCAAAAACCTCTACCCACAACATTTTCGTAAATATTACTCAAGTCAATATGCTAGGCCACCAAGGAGTCAGGCCAAGTCTGCCACTTAGGCTGTTTGAAAGCTGGTTATTGGCTATAAAGAATAAACCTTTTTTTTTTTTTTTAAAGTCTAATAAGATGTAAGTTGTCATTGTTTGGGTTGAATCAGGCTAATAAACATGTCAAAAAAATCCATCTGTGAAATTCAATTATATCTCTATAAAAGCATAATACAAAAAATGGAAAATCAATTTAGAGTGAAAAAGACAACCTATAAATTGTGGGAGCTCTACAAGTCACTCAGTACAGCCCAACCCAGACTGAGATGAAAATGCCTTTGGTGGAGAGGGCCACACCCCACAACCCCTCCCACCTCAGGCTATTGCAGAACAGTAGATGAGACCAGCTGAGCATTTCGCAAAAGAGGAATCAGTATGATAGATGCATAAACCTCCAAACACACAGCAATGAAAACTGTCTCATGTCCAGCAGCTCTTGAGTTCTACACTTCAGCAAAAGCCAATTTGAAGGTACAAGGTCCTATTCCGATGGTGCCCCTTTTTGTCAATGCAATCATTATGGAGCTTTATAAGAGAATCTTGGGTTCCAACCTTGACCTACTAAACCAGAATCCCTAGTAGAAAAGCCCAAGAAAGTATTCTTTTCAAAATCTCCCCCAAAATAGTGCTGGAATGACAAAGAATGAAGTTAGACCCTTATCTCATACCTTATGGAAAAAGTAACTCAAAATGGATCAGTCATAAACATAAGAGCTAAAACTGTAAAACTAGTAGAAGAAAACGTAGAGCAAATCTTTGAGACCTAGGATTAGGCAATGGTTTCTTAGATATGAAACCAAAGGCACAAATTGCAAACAAAACAAAACAAAAAAGATAAAATAGACATCAAAATTTTAAACTTTAAAACACTCAAACAGTGAAAAGACAACACACAGAATTGGAGAAATTATTTGTAAATGTGTATCTAATAAAGGACTAGTGTCTAGAATGTATGAAGAAATCTTGCATCTCAATAATAAAAGATAAATGAAACAATTTTTTAAATGGGTTAAGGCCCTGGCTGGGTAGCTCAGTTGGTTAGAGTGTCATGCCAATATGCCAAGGTTGGGTTCAATCTCCAGTCAGGGCACACACAAGAAACAACCAATGAATGCATAAACAAGTAGAACAACAAATTGATGTCTCTCTCTCTCTCTCTCTCAAACCAATAAGTAAAATTTTAAAAAATGGGCTAAGATCTGAATAGATATTTCTCCAAAGAACATATACAAATGGCTAATAAGTATGTGAAAAGATACCCACATCATTAGTTATAAGGAATATGCTAATCAAAACCGCAGTGAGATAGCACTTCACACCCACTAGAATGGCTTCAATAAAAACAAAACAAAACAAACAATAGTATTGTAAATGATGAAGGATAACTGAAACTCTCATACATTGCTGGGGGAAGTTTTAAAATGGTGTTGCTGTCATGGAAAACAGCTTGGCATTTCCTCAAAAAGTGAAACCCAAGGTTATCACGTGACCCAGGAATCCCACCCCTAGGCATGCAGGAGAGAACTGAAAACAGTCAGGTGCTCTCCCTCCTGGGAGCACTCCGAGTCTTTCCCTTCCTGGTCTTCTTCCCCCACAGGCCACTCTGAGGGATCCCATCAGACTTGCAACCAGAGGAACAATGGGGAGCGGCAGCTTGCCCCTGGTTAACCCCTTGAACCTGCCTCCAAGGTTCCTTTTCTCTGACTTCGCAGGGAGCTGACAGCAGCCCCACCTTGGCTTCCTTCCTTCTCATAATATTTCAAGGGAGCCAACGTAGCCCACCTCGTCTCTTTCCTGTTGCTTCTTCTCTCCTAGGCCCTTCCTTGCTACACTGTCCCTAGCTTAAATAAATGTATACTCAAAATTTTAAAAAAAGTCTGCTCCAAATCTTGTATACAAATGTTCATGGCAGCATATTCGTAATAGCCAAAAAGTGAAATAACCCAAATGTCTGTCAATGGATGAACAGATAAACAAAAGGTGATATATTCATACAATAGAATATTATTTAGCCATAAAACAGAATGAAGGACTGATAAACGCCACAACATGAATGGACCCTGAAAACATGCTAAGTGAATTAAGTTAGACATAAAAACCCACATAATATATATTCCATTTATGTGCTACGTCCAGAATAGATAAATCCATGGAGATAGGCTATAAACAAGGGTTGCCAGGGGTGGGGAGAGGGAGAGGTGGAGAGTGACTGCTAATGGGTGTAGGGTTTTCTTTTGGGGGTGATGAAAATGTTCTGGAATTCGTGGTGAGGCTCAAGCACACCACCATCTCCGTCTGCCCCAGTATGCTGTACCTGGCCTGAAGGCTGCTGATTCCCTTCTTTGTTGTTCCCTGTGGAAAGCCATTGGCAGTGACATCTAACGGCTGCTCAGGTACTGCACTCCAGCTGATGGCTATGAAAAGATAAGATTCTAGGGTTAAAACTATTCAGTTTTCTGTAAGTTTCAGAGGTGTTTTAATAAAAATATCTCCCTGCCTTTGCAGACCCACGAGAGCTGGATACAACGTCAGACACAATGGCTGTCACTCTGACACAGGGTACAAGTGGTTTATTCGTGATTAATCAACATCATCATCATCATCCTAATCACTGAGCACTTATGAAACAGAATTTCTCATTTAATTCTCATAACAATCCTAATAAATAAATGATATGTTTATCTGGAGATGACTAAATTGAGGCTGAGGGAGAATAAGTAGGTTGCCCAGGGTCACACAGAACATGAACTTGACACAGTGTGGGTGCCTCCAGAGCCCACACTGTTGACCGTTTGGGTGGTATACTGCCTCCCCAGGCTGGGTATACGCCACTCCATGGTCTGGGGAAAAGTTACTCCAGGGCAAGTGGAACCTGGATCCCTTACCTGCTCCGCAAGGAACAAGTCGGCCTGGGCTGTCAGCCCTTTTTGTCTGCACTGCACAGCGGCTCTGCTCAAACAGTAAATCTGACTGCTGTATTTTTACTTCTTGAACTCCAAACCCTTTGGGTAAAGCTGAGATATTCTGACACCTAAATGTGAGGGGAAAATGCATTCAGTTTAGACTCACTCCTTGAGAAAGAGAATATCTAGGATTGTGGACCCCATTGCTCTTTCTGTGTCTCAGTGGGAGGCAAAGGCCTTTAGGCGTGTGTGGATTTGTTTATTTATGGGGAGGGAAGTACAGGAGAGTGTGAGAGAACAGAATCTAAACCATATGAAACTTATGGCTGGAGGAGGATCTCCTCCCGTTACTCTGAAGTGATAACTAGTTGAGTTACCACCCCTCAGTGATTTCATAACACCAAACTCCATTCTTGATATCAGTTTTGAAAGATTTGAAAACCTTAAGAAGAGATACTAATTTGTTGGCATCTGCTTCCTAGGGAATCCTTTAAACACACCAGAATCCAAAGTTATCCTATAACATAAACCTTCACTTGCTTCCCTTGTATCTTTCACGTAAACTCAGTGCCAATACAATGCTGTTTTAGACGTGAGCAGACAGCAATTTAAAAGTCTCAGGACAGGGAAAACATGGGAAACACAGAAAACATCTTGGGCAGAGTGGTTAGGGTTGCTTTCATTTTTTTTAAACCCCTTTATGGGGATATAGTTTGTATACCAAAAAATTTGCCCATTTGAAGTCTAACGTTCAAAGTTTTTTTTAGTACAGTCACAGACTTGTGCCAAGTATCAGCACAGTCTAAGTTTATAACGTTTTCATCAAGCCAACAGAAACCCCGCACCAATTAGCAGCCACTCCCCATCCCTTCTCCAGCCCCCAGCACTCATGAGTCTTCTCTCTCTCTCTCTCTCTCTCTCTCGATTGCCTATTTTGGTTTTTTCATTATGTGAAATCATGCATTGCGTGGCTTCTTTCACTTGGCATAAGATTTTCAAGGTTTATCCATGTTGCAACAGGTATCAGTCCTTCAATTTTTGTGGCTGAGTAACATTCCACTGTTTGGATATACCATATTTATCCATTTATCAGTTGATGAACATTTGGGTTGTTTCACTTTTGGGCTACTATGACTATTGCTGCTGTGAACATTCACGTACAAGTTTTTACGTGGATATGTTTTCATTTCTCTTGGGGATGTGCCCAGAAGTGGAACTGCTGGGCCACGCTCTGGGGCCGCTTCCTGGAGCCGGCTTCAGGGGTGGTCGCTTGACAGGCCCACAGGCTTCCCCTGGCCCTGGCTTCGTCCTGCCCTCAGCTCTCACAGCATTCACTGGGTCTGGCTGCCTTCTTTAGGAAGGCCACACTTGAGCGGTCATCCGCTGTCACTTATCTTTTCAAAAATTAACAGTAATGTCTGAAGATTAAAAAAAAAATTTAACAGCAATATATGTACCCTGTAGAAAAATTAGAAAACAGTAATCACAAAGAAAAAACTACCCATCCTACACCAGAAGGAAGATGTGTATATCCTCCTACAATTCTCCTATATGCATATGTACTGTGAGACCAACACAAACTTATTTTATGTTCTAAATTGCCCTTTAAACTCATAGAGAGAGAGAAGAGTAACAGCTATGGGGGGTGGTTTAGGGGGTGGAGGGGTTGAGCAAAAAGGAAAAAGGACTCATGGACACGGACAACAAACAGGGTGGTGACTGCAGGGGAGAGGGTCTATAAGGGGGATAAATGGTAATGGGAGAAAATACAGTAAAATAAAAACAAAATAAAATAAATGGCTCTTTAAACATGATGAGCATCTTACCATATTAAATTTATTCAATAGGAGTCTTAACAAAAACTACTTGATCTATTGCTGGCCATTTTAGTGGTTTCCTTTGCTTTTTTAAAAATGACTTCACACAAAGCTAAATGTTTGAATACTTCCTTAATTATTCCTTTAGGACAAATTCCTAGCAGTGGAACTGCTGGATCAAAATGCGTGGATATTTCTAAGGCTCTTTGGACACCCTCTCAGGCTGCTTCTTGGAAAGACTGTTCCAACGGCTCCCTCCCTCCCTACCCTCTCACCTCCCAGTTAGCGCTCTCCACATGGCCTCCTGGCTGTACGGGCACTTCCCGATGACCACTGCTGACAGGTAGATGGGCTCTTCTAGAAAGTGCATCAACAGTGACCCCTGGCATCCGAGGACATTCCACCGCGCCAACTTGTCACTGCAGGACATGGAGCAAGTCCTGTCTCCCCGGCCGGGCTTCACGCGGAGCAGCCCCACCCGGTGATACGCAGCACCAGGCTTCCCCGAGTCTCCAGCTTCCCCAGGCACACACTTAGCTCCAGTTCTATAAACATCCACCACTTTGGCACCACTGGGGGCCATTCCAGCGGCAGTGGCCGGTTCCTCTGAGGTGAGATTAGAGCTGCCGACTCTTGGTAGGACTGGGCTACTTTCCTGATCGCCAGAACTCTGAAGGTGAGCCTCACCGTTGGCAACTTTTCTGGCAGGAGTCCTGGGCTGAAGCCTCATTTTTTTGGCCACAGGACTGTCCAGGTCTTTGCATTTCCTTTTATCTTCAGTAGCTTCCAGGTTACCCCTGGCTTCTACTGATGGGTTATGGGCCCAATCTCTACTGACAGGACAGCATGGCTGATCTTCAAACTCGAGCATTGGAATGATGGAGGCATCCCCGCCTACAGGAGAAGAAACTCCTTAAACCAGTGGTTCTCAGAAGTGAGACCAGCCACAGCAGCATCCCTTGGGAACTTGTTAGAAATGCAAACTCTTGGGACCCACGCTAGACCTGCTGCATCAGAAACTCTGGAGGTGGTATCCAGCAGTTGGTGTATTAATCAACTCTCCAGGTGATTCTGATGCAAGCTCAAGTTTGAGAACCATTGCATTAAAACAAAGCTCAATATTATTCTTCCAGCTGATCTGAGATGAATTAAGAACACTTGCCCAGATTTCCCTAATATGAATCATCTTGTTGATGACTCCTGACCTTCTCCTAGACTCAGTGAGTTAGAATTTTTGGAGGGCAGGGATCTGGAAAACTGAATATTTTAATAAAGATCCCAATTCTTAGCACAGGAAGTTTTAGAAACACTAGTTTAGACCAGGGTTTCTCAAACCTCTGCATTATTGACATTTTGGGCCAGATAATTCCTTGCTGTGGGGTCTGTGCTGTACATTATAGGATATTTAGCAACCTCCCTGGTCTCTACTTGTTAGAGTAATAGCAGTCCCTAGTCTGACCATCAAAAATGTCTCTAGATGTTGCCAAACGTCCCCCTGGGGAACCAATGGTTTAGAATAAGCAGTTTGACAAGTGCATTTTGTGGAATGTTATCCTATAAGATGCACTGGAAAACAAAAGTGGGTGGCTGATTTCATGGTTAAGATATTGGGTTGGCCAAAATTTCCATAAGATGGCTTTAGTAGCACTTAGTTGTCTATAAATTCATTCGAAACAATTTTGTTAGATTGTATTTTGACAGCTGTCATATCAGCATGCATTTTTTAAAAAACTTATCAAAATTGGTGAATTTTTGTGTAGTCATTTTAATACTGAAGATGGAAGAAAATAAAGATTTTCAGCATATTATACTTTATTATTTCAAGAATGGTTAAAATTCAACTAAAATGCAAAAAATGACTTGTGTAGTGTACGGAGAAGGTGCTATGACTGATCGAGCATGTGAAAAGTGGTTTGCAAAATTTCTTGCTGGGTGTTTCTCACTGGACGATAATGCTCCACAGTCGGGTAGACCAGTTGAAGTTGACAGCGACCAAATTGAAACATTAATTGAAAACAATCAATATTATACCACACAAGAGATAGCCAACATATTCAAAATATCCAAATCAATAAAGTTATTGGTGAAAATGAAAAATGTGTCTTTTATTTTATGGAAAAAAACCATACAGACTTTTTGGCCAACCCAATAAATTTGGTAAACAATGTTTACAACTTCCCCCTCTTGGATATGTATGTGCATATCCTTAAACTCTGCAGTAAATCACACAGCTGGTGTTTCCCTGCACTGGTTTAGGAATTTCTGACCTATCCTGTGCTTACAGGGAATCAAACAAACAAAACCCAGAGCTTAGTAAAAACCACAGCTTCCTGTTTTTCAAACACTAACCTAATGTATGTTGCTTTCCTAAAATATGTGAATAATACATCTGTAGCCTTATAATCAAAGAGTGGGAAAGGCAAGCGATGCAGACGTGGGAGTGTTGCCAGAGAGGCCAGCTGGCAGATTTCCAGAGACCTCACAAGGTGACAGTGACTTTGGAGTATTCACCAGGGCTCGCCTCCCACTCTGCAGGCTCAGAGATTTGATCTTGACAGATGCCTGAACTCAAGAGGCTGACTCATGCTAACAAAACTCATAAATAAGAGTCTGCAGTAGCTAATCCATGCACCAAAGTATCAATTAGTAATGAGGAATAAATGCGAGGACAGCCAGATAATCATGTTCTTTATGTAGTGTTCTTTCTGCAGACAAACCATGGGTGAACATCCCATTTAAAACAATTTTTTTAGCCCTGGTTAATGTGGCTCAGTGGATTGAGTGCCGGCCTGTGATTCAAAGAGTCGCTTGTTCGATTCCCAGCCTAGGGCACATGCCTGGGTTGCAGGCCAGGTCCCCAGTAGGGCGTGCACGAGAGGCAGCCACACATTGATGTTTCTCTCCCTTTCTTTCTTCTTCCCTTCCCCTCTCTAAAAATAAATAAATAAAATTTTTAATTTTTTTTTTTTTAAATGAGCTGGGAAAGTTACATCAGTACTTCTAGATTTTGATTTCAAAGGCCAGTAAAATTTCGAAAGGGTTTTAAGATCAACAGAGGGTGGTCAACTTTCTATTTCATAAAGTAAGATCTTTAAAAATCCCAGTTGCAATTATTAAAAATGATTAAACTCTCATAAACTTTAAATGACCAGAAATTAGCTCTTTGAAAAATTCACTATATAGTAGTGATTTTTCTTATCGATCAGTACACCTCCACAGAGCAGTACCAGCCTGTGGATATGTCGTTTGATTAGGCAGCAGTCAGGCTAGTTTGATCATCAGATTGCAACTCTCTCCACAATGTGACCAGTGAATCAGCCAGGCCCTGGCTGTTCAAAGTGTGGTCCACAGGCCAACACTACTGGCACCAACCATGAGTTGATTAGAAATCCAGAACCTCAGGCTCCACCCCAGAATCTGGATCTAGATTTTAACAAGATCCCTGGGTGATTCATATGCATGTTACAGTTTGAGAAGCACAGAGTTAGGAAATATCCTTTGGTCCTTGGATCAGAGCACTCACCACTAAGAACACTGTGGATGATCTCTGCCTACCTCTGTAACTCTTTTTCAATAGACTTATTCTTTCTTAAGCTGTATTATATTTTTGATTTATGATTAAGTCTTGACAGCTATTCTGTCTCTTACAGTGATTATCTATCTCTACCTTAATCGCACATATTACTCTTAAAGTTTAATACTCAGTGGACAATCTTATGTCATTATTTCAAAGTTTTTTTGGGTGAAGGAATGTTACTGCCATCCCTGAGTTATTGTCTACAAAGGGCAGAAATTATTCTTAATTTTCAAGACAGAAAAACAGGATAGAAATAACTCTGTGTAGGCTAGGTCTGATCTTCTTGCCTAAAGCAACCACAGTACTTAAACATCCCCTTATAATTCATCAAAATTTACCTTAACCAACCATGACTGTCAACATTCCCTAAAAGACTCTATGAGTGTAGGGAAGGGACTACTCATTCCCTGCTATGTACCCAGTATATCATACTGTCCCTGACAAGTAGTAGAAAATATTTGTTGAATGAATGAATGAATGAATAAAGTGAGTTTGGGCATCTGGGTCTTATTGTTGGTTTCAGACCTAGTGAAGTTTCAGTTTTAGGTTTCCCAGTCCTGACTGGGAACTGAGAAGTGAGTGAGCCCCCCTCCCTGTAACACCCCCAACCCTGTGTTTTCTCGGCAGAGAAATGATTAGGCATACTGGCCTGTTCACAAAGATGCACTGTTGCCCGTTGTAGCTACACTTCAGCCAGAAGCACTTTTTTGAGAAACATGTCGATGGATAAGACCAACATAAGGAAGAAGATTATGCAACATTAATCCACAGGCTTGGATATACTTACAGGGCGTATGGCTGGAGAAAAATACAAACGACAGGTCTGGTTTGAGTTTCCACAATCCTTTCAGAGTTCCTGGCACAAAGATGCTATCCTCCTTCAGGGCAGCCGCCAAGTAAAGCTGATGAAGAAGGTACCTAAATGGGTGCAGGATGTTATCAGAATGACCACCAGTCTCTATGGTAAAGGGGAAGATTATGGCTGGGTGATTACTAAGAAAGAAAGATCTACTAAAGACCAATAGGATTGATAGTGATTTGGAATTATGAGAATGATCTAGACCAGTGATTCTCAAAGTGTGGCCCTTGAACTGGCAGCATAAGCATCATCTGGAATTTGATAGAAATGCAACTTCTCTGGCTCCTCCCTTGAGCTGCTGAATCAGCATCTCTGAGGGTAGGCCCAGCAATCTGGATTTTAACAAACCCTTTAGGTGATTCTGATGCACATTCAAGCATGAGAACCACTGTACAGACCAGTGCTATTCCAAGTTTAGTTCACAGGCTAACAAAATCAGTTTAACTCAGGAGCTTATTAGAAATGCAAACTCTGGGGCTCCCAAACCAGGCTAAATTGGACTCTCTGGGGATTTGACCTTACCTTTGGAAACTCCTTCTGGCTATGACCTCTGCATGGCTATCATTGAGGATGTCTCCTGTGGCAAAGACAAGACACCAGTGAAGAGGTATGGAACCTGGAGAAGCTCTGGTGTTTAGAAGCAGAACGCAGCAGTTTCCCTCCTCCAGCACCCAGGGTGGCCATGTAGCTCTGGGGGGCTTTGCCAGAAAGTATCACAATCATTAATGGCAATGCATTTATAGAAGGGTTCCTCAGCTCAGCACTGTTGACATTTTGAACCAGAAAATTCTTTGTTGTCAGGGTCTGTCCTGTGCATTGCCGGATGTTGAGCAACAACACTCCTGGCAGGCCAGCAGCATACTCTCCTCCCAACCTTCTGACAACCAAAAATGTCTTCAGGCATTGTCAAATATTCCCTGAAGGGCAAAACCTCCCTTAGCTGAGAACTACTAATTTATAGGAAAATCTTTATCTGGAGGACAGGGGTCCAGATCTTTTGTGCCCTGGTACCACACTCGTGCTCATAGTGATGCAGTCCCATGGAATTCAATCCATAGTGGTCCTGGAGCAGCTTCCTCATATACAGGAGGCAAAGCTGGGAAAATGGAGGAAGCAAACTCCAGGAGGCCTCTGTTCACGGAAAGCAGAAGGTGAAGATGCCAGATCTCTAAGGAATTTCCACATTCTTTGTGGTGCCGAAGTCTCCATTTAATTCAAGATTGCTTTCTGGGGCTTCAGCAAAGTAATGTGGATTAGCTAAGACCGGGAACTTCTGGTTTGAGCATGACGATACTGGCCAACTTTCAATCCATTCAGAAAGCGTGTTCCTGGCAGCCTCTGCTTGCACTGTTTATTTTGATTCTTTAGGTGGGTTCTGTCCTTCCACCTGGAGTGACAGCCAGTGAGAGCTGAAATGTCGGCTACCTCAAAAATATGACCCCTTTGCCCTGAAGAGGAGAGGAAAGAGCAACAGGGACACTGTTTCCAAAGCTCCCCAGACAGGCACTGCTTAGGCCCCATGTGGGCTTACCGCTCTTCCTCATTTTGGACTGGCCAATGCATTTTGTTCCTGTTCCCATTGAGACAACTTCCTTTGTCACTGAGGGGATAAAGAAAAACAAATCGTTAAGTGAGCTTTCAGAAACTGAATGGTCCCCAGCCCTCAGGTTTAGTAAGTCTGCACATTCCTCCAGACTAGACTAGAGCATTCCAGTAGGCGGACCCATCAGAGAGGACGACTGCGGTTCCAGTAGGGCCGTCTCCCGGCTTGACGCACTGCGCCCCCTGGCGGAGGTCTGGGGAACATGCCCAATATCACAGTTTATACCTGGCGAGGACTGCCCCTGTAGAGCCAGCCATGTGTAATTTTACCATCTCTGACAAGGAGAGGGAGAGTTTCAAGTAGAAAAGGACTCACCTTGCTCCTGTTCGTCACGGCAGTCACAGGGCTGGCCACCTATAGGCTGTATCTTCACCACGGCTGCTACCAACGTCCATTCACGGTTGGGTTCGGGCTTACCCTGCTTGGGCAGCCTATTCCTATAGTGCTCGTAACATAGGCTTGCAATCTCATTTGGGGTCCACATAGTCTGAGTTGGTGCTGAGACCCTAATCAAAAACCACAACCATCAGAAGTACAGGAGCCTTTCCCTTCCTTCTCGTCCTCCCCAGCAGGTGTGCGTCTCCTAAACTCTCAGGTACAAGACTTGCAACCATGGGAACAGTGGGCAGTGGCAGCTTGTCCAAGGCTAAGCCCCTGAACCTGTCCTCAAGGGCCCCTTTTCTCTGACTCTCCCGTGAGCTGACAGCAACCCTGCCTTGGCTTCTTTCTTTCCATTAATAAGTGTACTCTCAAAAATAAAAAACAAACAAAAAAAGCACAGAAAGGAGGACCAATGCACGATGCTACACCCTGGCACCAGTGTGCTTCAGCAGGCTTTCAGATGTAGCCCAACCATGTTCATACTGAGTTTTCTCTATCTGAAACTCCATGCTAATTTTCTCCTACTTCCCTGCATTTTTCATCTTTAAGGAAAGATCAAAGAAGTCCCAAATCCCACCAATCCCAAAAGAGAGCCTATTTCTTCTGTTTTTTAATCCCCCTTTACAGGAATTTTGTTTTTCTCTTTTCTCTCCCAGATTGGTTCTTCACACCTCCCTGTAGGAAATCTCCCACTGACGCCCCTATCAGGAAAGCAACCCTTTTTCTCTAATAATGTTTTTTATGAAGCAGAGGGGAGGAGTGACAGAGCCCAGTGGTTTCTCACTAGTCAAGTGTTCTCATAGGAAATTTTGAACAGCGTGGGCTTGAGTAACCCTTTCTGGGTTCCAGTTATGGCTTTGCTTATATTAACTGTGTGGAATTGGGTAGATAAATCTGTGTCTGTTTGTCCATCTGCTAAAATAGGGATAACAACAGTATTTAATCCATGGGGTTACTGTGAGGATTAAATAATATTTATAAAAAGTAACTGCTGCCCTGGCTGGGAAGCTCAGTTAGTTAGAACATTGCTCCAACAGGCCAGGGTTCTGGGTTTGATCCCTAGTCTGGGTACATATAAGAATCAACCAATGAATGAAAAGATCAGTGGGACAACAAATCAGTATTTCTCTCTTCCTCTCTTTTTCTCTAAAATCAATTAAAAAAAATTAAAAACTGCTATAATATTGAGAATTCTTACTGTCAACTGTGATTAATATTATTAAAAAGAAACACTGATTTCCCTGATTGATTTGCCCTGAGCTCCTCGAAAGGGAGGGGCACTGAAATGGGTACATAAAGCCATGAATACAAACCATTGAACAGGTCAGACCTGAGAGAGGCCTAAGATACTTTGCCAGAAACTTTTCCACTCTTGACTGTTGACTCCATTAATGACCTCATTTGGACTCTAATGTATGAAAAGCTTCTTGGTAGAAAAAGGGATCATATGGTGATCAGGACAAAGCTAAACGTTTAAAAAGGAAAAAGACTTAGTACTGAGTCCCAATGCATGTACCTTCTGAAACCTGATGTTTCTACAATAAGCTCCATACCTTGTGTAAAATAAACTACATAAGGAGGACCTTAGACCAGTGTTGCTCTAATGGCCATGGTGGACTATGTAAGCGGGCCAAGATCTAAGCCTGTTAATCCTTCAAGACGTGGAGGAAAAAGGGGTCGCATACTAAGCCTGACAAGTTTAGGGGAGGCCTGCATAGCGGCTTTACAAACTCAGAGACCAAAAGTAGCTACATAGATGGTCTGTACACAAAAATTCCTAACTAAAGCCCTGACTGGTGTGGATCAGTTGAGCATCACTCTGCAAAGCAAAATGTCGCTGGTTCGGCTCATGGTCAGGGCACCTGCCTGGGTTGCTGGTACCATCCCCCGTCAGGAAATGTGCAAGAGGCAACCCATTGATGTTTCTCTCTCATATTGATGTTTTTCTCCCTCTTTTTTCCTTCCTTTCCCTCTCCCTAAATTAAATTTTAAAAACTTTAAGAAAAAAAAAGTTTAAAGAAATCCTAACTAAAAGCGAATTCTAGTGGGTAGTAACATCCTAGGCCTGGAGCTTCCTTGACAGAGTTCAACCTTTACCTTAAGTGAAACTATTGTCTTTTTGCATCTAAGATAACATACTTTTGAAATATCGGAGTGCTCTCATTTTCCAGAACCCCCTCATTGTTATCTTGTTCCCCATACAACAACTCTATGTGCTATAAGTGTTAAAATTAACTATGCTGTACCCACCAATGTAAAAACTATGTTTCTTTTGCCTTTTTTATCCAACCCCAGATTTCCCTGCTTAGCCTTCTTCAGTCCCCTTAATCTACATGAATTTCATGTAACCCTCCTTATGTCTCCTTTTATTCTAATATATAAAATAAGCTGCAAAACTGCCATTCTCCAGAGTATTTTCTCAATCCACCATGATTTTGCTTCCTGGCAATGGTCAGTTTGGCTCAAATAAGCTTATAAAAATTCCATGCAGGTCTGGACATTTCTTACCTGAACAAAGCTTACATCAAAACACTAAGGACAACCAATCACAAACAGCCAATTAGGCTTTAAGCTAGAGCCAATTAAATAATTTCCTTTCTTGTTTATGCACTTTCTGTCTTTCCTCTAGCTGTGTCTGCGGAGTGCTCCAAACCACCTCTGGTTTGGTGCTGGTGGACTGATATTGTTTTATGCTCAAATAAACTTTTGAAAATTTTATTATGCCCTTTTATTTATTTTTTAATAGGTCACACGTGCAGGCCTGTTATTGCAATAATCGGTCACGGAAAATCAGACCACAGTGATTTAAAACAAAGATGTGGCAGGAACTGACATAAATTGTTCCTTTAAAGTCAGAGAACAAACCTAAGTCTTGCATCTATTGGAGCAAAATAAAAGTTTGGGAGATGCTAAACTCCTCCATTTGGATTTGCCTCTCATTCCCAGGGGTGAGGGGGGCGGGGAGGGAGGAGCCAGCTATCACAGGGCAGTATATTTTATGAAGGCAGATACTCAGGGAACCAACTTGTAATGAAACCAGACACATCACAAACCATTAATAGCAGCCAAGGAAGACGGAACTTGCTAGAGGAAACGTTGACTCCCTAAGATGAAGCACCCCAGAACTGTACCATCACCTCATTCACGTAGTTAAGTCTGGATGAGTATGCACAATGGTTGAATAAATGTTTTTGATATACCGGGTCCACTAAAATTCAAATCCACTCTCTCCTATATCTTGAATAGCTTCTTCCAGTGCAACCATTGGCTCAAACAGACCTTTCCCCAGAAGACCTATTGTTATGACAATTGCAAAATGCCTAAGAACCTATTTCCTTTTCACATGAAAATTAAGGTAGGTCGGCTGCCAGCGGGGTAAAGAAAGGACTTAAGCAATGTAGAAAGGACAGTAAACGTACTTCCCTCAAGGCCCCTCAATACCCTGGGAAGTGGCCCCTCTTCTCGACCGGCTGTAGAGGTCTGCGCTGGGGCCCATCCGGCCAGTTACACGAGCGACTCAAGGTTACAAGGCAGCCTCTGGTCCATGAAGCAGAGACAACGTGCGTGCCTGCCTCCTTGGCTTTTGCGGTATGCAAATACCCCGCGCTCGCGCTACACGCGGTGTACGTTGGCACGTCCTTGAAAGCAGCATCACTTTCCCACGTGCCGTGCATCGTGGGTAGCACGGTCCTCAACTCCTCCCAGAAGCCCCAGAGTCCCCCACCACATTCCGTTGCCCCCCATCGCGTAAACCCACCACCTCACCGATGCTACCCGCCCACCTTTACGACGCGCGCTCTGAAGGGAAGGAACGGAACCCCGGTAGCGTAGGGAACGTGACGTCACAAAGAGGCTGTTCTTCCAGGCCCCACCCCCAGAAGTGCGCAGTGATCGCTGGCTCTTGTAGTCTTTCTGCGGGGAGGTGGGTGCTTGGTGCTTAGCGCCCTGCGGCTTTCGGAGCTGTGTGTAGGTACCGATTGAACGGGCTGAAGGAAGCTGACTGCGTGGTAAGACATGGTTGAAGTAACAGTAGAATGATACCGTGACTTGGAACCCTAGTCTGAATTTCTGTATAAAACAGCGCTGTCCAATAGAACTATAATATGAGGCAGGTATGTAATTAAAAATTTTCTAGTAGATATATTTTAAAAAGTCAAATGAAATAGGTAAAACTAATTTTAAAAATATATTTTACTTAACCCACTATATTATTTCACCGTGTAATCAATATGTTAAAAAATATTGAGGCATTTTACATTATTTTTGTATACAAGTTTAAGAAATCTGCTGTGTATTTACACTTAGAGTACATCTTAATTCGAACCAGCCACATTTTAAATACTCAATAGCCACATGTGGCTAGTGGCTACTGTATTGGACAGCGCTAGAGTAAAACCTTTGGAGTGCCAGGAATAGGCAGAATAAGCTGTTTGGATTGTTCAGGAGCCTGTACAATATCACAACTGTATAGCTCAATTTCTGAAGATGAGAGAATTCACTTTTCTTGTTAGCTCTCAAAAGTTAGACAGAATTCAATTTACTTGACCCCATCCATCTCTCTAGTTTAGGGACAAGGACCAGAGGCCTCCTCCAAGTCTAAGGACCCTGATCTTCATTTCTTTCTCCATCTTTCATCTGCAACTGACTTCCCTCTTCTGTCTTTAAAAAAGAGCTGATTCTGGCAGGAGAATCATCTTCGAGGGTTGTCTCAGGGATTGGGACCACCACCAATCTAGTTGCAGAAGTTAAAAAAGTGAGTCACCCTCCTATTTAGGCTGAGTCACCCTCTCTTAACCCCAACTTTTGCCTTTTCTTGTCTTTTCCAACTCCAGTTCTTTTTCAGAGAAGCCAAAATGCAAGTGTAATGTCAATTCCCTGCTTAAGTATTTCAGTGACTTACCAGTGCTTAAAGATAAATCTATTTTTCAATTATACTTGACATACAATATATTAGTATCAGGTGTACAACATAGTGATTAGACAATTACATACCTCTTAAAGTGATCACCACTATTCAGCACTCTTAAAATACAAAATTCTACAGCAGGGCTCACAGTCCTGCATGCCCAGCCCCCTCCTGCCTTACCTGATGGTGTCTGTTTGAGCTTCTGTATTCTCCTGGCATTGCCTTCTCCATGCTCCTTCCTACTACAGGGTCTTTGCACTTGACACACTATGGAAAGTCCCAACTCTCCTTTGATTATCTTCCCTCAGATGTCTGACCTAACGTTCTCAGGGAAACTTTCCTTATCTAGGTCTGTTAGTTTCTCGATGCCCCAAGGACCTTTCCTTCAAAGCATTTACCAGAGCTGCCAATTTATACATTTTTAATTGTTTATTAAATGTCTTTCTTACACTTCTAGAAGCTTGATGAAGCTTGGGACCATACCTTTATGTTCACCCCAGGATGGCAGTTAGCAAACTGTGAGCCTTCAAATGTGTAAGGGGGTAATGAAGACTTTATAATCCTTCTAGCTTTCATCCTATTTGCCATTTTTCCTGCTGACCTCACGAACAGTGGTAGTTGTCTCCTACTGCATCAGTTCTATCCCTAGCCTTCTTGAGGCCAGAGAGCTGGCTTCTGCCCGCAGCCTACTACTGAAAGGCTTTTAACACTTGTGACCTCATTAATCCTTATTGCCTTTTCCAATGGTCCACATTGATAGTACAATGTTGCCTGAGTCCAGGCCCTTATCTTGACCCTACACCTTTTCCCTTGGTGAGATGATTGTTTTCATTGTACTTAACACCACCTTGCTGAAGGATGTGACAGGTTAAAGTTTCTCCTGAAGTGCCACCTGGCTATCTACTATCACTGCCAAGCTTGCCTGGACCTTGTGCTTATATAACAGCAAGAGGACCAGGTGGTCACCATTGCCTGAAATACTCCTCAGTTAGGTAATTCTGCATGCTTAGATCATTTTATCAACTAAACCTGTGAACATTGTTTTGCTGAGGTACAGAAGACAAGTCCATTGTTGTGTGATTCATCAGAAAAACGACCCCCCCAGCTGCCTCCCCGTCAGGGATCGGGGACTCCATTAAAACAGTAGTGTCTCAGCAATACCCTTGTCATCCTTGAATTGAGCTGAAAATAAAAATTCTAGCCCTGGCTGTGTGGCTCAGTTGGTTGGAGTGTTGTTCTATGCACTGAATGGTTGCCAGTTGGATTCCCAGTCAGGGCATGTATCTGAGTTGTGGGTTCAATCCCTGGTTGGGGCACATGTGGGAAGCGGACCAGTCGGTTTTTCTCTCTCTAAAAATCAAAGGAAACATGTCCTCAGGTGAGGATTAAAAAAAAATTAAAAAACAAAATTCTAGACTGACTATTCAACATGCCATTGCCATCCAATGTCTAACAAGCGTGTCAATCTTAACCAAATGCTCGACCTTCCCTTTCAAACCTGGCCTTCCTCAGTTTTTCACATCTCTGTAAACTTAGGGCAACTCTACTTTTCAGTTGTTTAGGCCCAAAACCTTGAAATCATCTTAGACTCTTTCTCACAAGCCACTTACCAGCAAATTGTGCTGACCTCAGGAACACAGGCAGGGTCCAATGACTGGTAACTGTCTCCATTACCATAAACCACCCAGTCTCAGCCATCACGCCTCCAGGCCCACTGCATTAGGCCACGTGGTCTCCCTTTCACCATTGCTTTTCACATGCTAACTAGGAAAGTCTTTAAAAATACGCTCCTTTGCTCAAAACCTGATAGCTCTCCATCTCATTCATAATAAAACACTCCTCTGCACGGTTTATAGGGACCCTTGTGATCTGGCCCTTCACGGATCATTTGCTCATCACACCAGAATCTTTGCGCTTCCTCAAAAACGTGGTCCTCTAGTCTGGATTGCTTTTTCCTCAGATCTCCGTCTCTAGGTTCTCAGTTACCTCGAAGAGGTCCTTGCCTGATTACATATTTAAAATAGCACTGCCCCATCCATCTCATTCTAAAATAGCACCCCTGTCTCCTTACTCTGCTGTTTATCCTAGTATGTACCAGTACCAGAAACAGTATGTACTTACTGGTCTCATTTGTCTGCTCACCCGTCACTGCCCTACCCCCCTGCCCCAATAATGTAAGTTCCATTAAAGCAGACTGTTGTTCACTGCTGAGTCTCTACATCTCTAATCCCTTTGAACAATACCTTGTACATAGACATTAATATAAATTTGCTGAATAAAGCGGTATAATCCTAAACCTTCATTAGGCCAGCAATCTGAGAAAAAAGTTGACATTCCACAAAGGTAAAATAAAATGATGAGGCAGGAGTAGAGATAAATGGTTTATTTGGTAACAAGGAATAAAATAGGAATCCTTAATTCCTTTTTTCTCTCTGATGACTGAACTGCAATAGTCAAGTGGATAGCAACATACAAGAATTCCCTTGCAGTCCTTCATTTTTTGCGGAAGTGCAAAGGTGCCTGAGTTATGTGACTTGAAGTTATCGTTTTCTAGACAGAAGTGCCAGCTGTTGTGCTTTCCAATGTATTAGCAACTGCAACATTTTCCTTCTTGTCTTCAGGTTTCATGGCAGGAAACAGAAGTACTTCCTACAAGAGATAAATGCATTTTGAAGCTAAGAACACTATTTTTTTCGCAGCTATCTACCCATTCCTTTCGCCTCTGGTTGTTACAACAAAAACCCAGAGATTTGTATATCCCAGCTGAATAGACAGACGTGTTCTTTAATTCAACTCAGTTCCTTTCAATTACAGGGGATAGAAAAGAACGCATGCATAGCACTGCCCAGGGCAGAATGTCAAAACAATCAATATACATGAGGGTTCTCTGAAAATCTGACTTCCTCATCTATAAAAATGGGATTAAGAACGCCGTACACCTTAAAGGGTGGACTTAAGTTAAATGAGATAATACATATAGAGAGCTTAACATGTTTCTTGAATCCTCAAGAAATGCAAGCAATTAGTGTTCCTTCTGCCTCAAATCCTGTAAGATTAGATGCTCTGATCTCCTGCCCGCAGCGTTGCATATAAACTCCTTTGCTTGCTCCTCCCTCCAGCCCAAAGCCTGCTCTTATTCTCCAGGCCCCCCAAGTCCTGTGTCCAACACAGTGGAACTCTCCGGGCAGTGTGCGTAGAGGGCTGCTGTACCTTGATGTTATTGGAGTCTGTGAGAAACATGGTGACTCGGTCAATGCCCATACCCCAGCCAGCTGTGGGGGGCAGCCCGTATTCCAGGGCAGTGCAGAAGTTTTCGTCTATGAACATGGCCTCATCATCCCCAGCGGCCTTGGCCTAGAAGAGAAAAGGAGGACCAAACAGTGACACTATTCTGGGCTGCATCATCTCTCAGTGCCTGCATCATCAGGTTCAAATACTCAGAGGGATGACCATTCCAAGGATGCTCTGGACACCCAGCACTTCCTGGAAACTGGGTTTCCTAGTAAGTCCAGGATGGAGCCTGGAGGTTAGGAC